ATATATATACGGGTAAACCTTACAACAGCTGGCCAGCTATAATGAATAGTATATAGGTGGAATGGGAGCTGTTAGATCTTCATCATGCGGTTCAGAATGCACATCACTATTTTAATTTTAATTTTTTATATAAATTTGATTAATATTAAATTTTGGGCATATATACCTAACACTATTGCGCACCATATAAAAATATAAAAAAAATTATTTTAATAACTTAAATGACCAAAATACCCCCATCATTTTTCAGGGGTATTTCGATCGTTTTAAATTTTGAAAATATATTTTATATATTTTTTATTTGTGTGCTCTATTTTTTAGTACATATGTATAACATTTCATTATGATTTGATTTATAAAAAAATAATTAAAATTAAAATAGTGATATGCATTCTAAACCGCATGATGAAGATCTGACGGCTCCCATTCCACCTAGATTACTAGTCATTATAGTTGGCCAGCTATTGTTAGTTTTTTCTTATATATATATATGGAATAATCTAAACTTCACAACCGTTCAAATTACAAAGGTTAAAGTTATAAAGAGTTGTGATTGGTAGATTTATTAATTTCGTAGTCTATTTTTTAAAAAAAATTACTTTTTATGATATCTTCATCATTATATGAATGTAATTTTGTAAATATTGCTACAAAACAAAGGGTCAAATGTCATTATGTTAGTGGTCAAATGCTACTACAAGTCAATTTTGCAAATATTACTACAAGGCAATTCTGTAAATGGTACTTGACTGACATTACGTCGGTGGTCAAATGTTAACAAGAACCGCTTAAAAGTGCCGCCTCGAGTTGTGTAAAAATCTCACTGAAATAAGTGAAGCCACCCATCCCAACCATCCATTGTTGAAATCAATCTATTATGATTGTATTCAAGTACTAGAGAAAAATTCATTGGGTGTATTATATCCAAACCTATGTTCATATATGGAAAATACTAACAAACACTCGCAAGTGAAATTTTACAGCATTTTATTTATGGCTCATCACCATTCAAAGTCCATCATGTACTCATGGTTGTCTGATAGTATTTTAATTTTAATAGTTTTCTACTAATCAGATGCAGTTGCATTTTGATTTATGTGTACATATAACTAACTCAGATCAAAATAAAGCACTAAAAATAATTATCAAAAAATGAATTGATAAAAATACCCCTAAAATGTTTATAGGGATAATTTGGTCATTTTATTATCTAAATTATTTTTTATATTTTACTTAGGTGCGATTCTCTATAACGCATACATATACAAAATTTCAGGTTAATATGATTTGTAGAAAATTTATTAAAATTCAAATACTTTTAGACAATATTAGTCGTTTGATAGACTTTGGATGGTGATGAGCAATGAGCAAAATACTGCAGAAATTCTCTTGTGAGTATTCTTAAATATTTTCCTATATGTTTCCATATATATGTATAATATTTAGAAATAAATACAATGATACCATTTATTTTTTATATAAGGAGGTCACAATCATTATTAATCATTGGTTTTGAAATCGGGCAGTTGAGGATGTATCATTGATTGGATACAAAGTCCAAAATAAAATTTCTCAAATGTTATGATACACTTCAATCTATTGAATTTCACATCCAATAGCTAAAAATAATTATGACTTTCTTGTACTAAAAATAAATGGTTTGATGATATACACTCCCAAAGTATTTTAACTTAAAATTTTTTTATGAACTCTTTAACAAATAATAAGGAGATTGTATATTATGATACCATTTATTTTTGGTAAAAGAAGGTCACAACTTTTCTCAACTGTGAAATATAATATATTAAATATATCCCAGCTTTCGATAAAAAACAATTAGGACTTTGTGCTCAATTTGTGACACATTACCGCCTATCCAATTCACATCCTACAATTGATAATGATTGTGACATCTTTGTATCAAAAGTAAATAGTCTTATCATATATATTTTCACAATTAAATGCACCTCATCACTGCACCCACACACATATGTGCACAAGCGCACACACTCCGAGAGAGAGAGAGAGAGAGAGAGAGAGAGAGAGAGAGAGAGAGAGAGAGAGAGCTACACACTCTCGTCGCGTCGCGACTACCGTACCTACCGTACCCGTACCCGTACCCGTCGTCGTATAGTAGTGTCGTACTAAGTAAGTAACGT